TCTGACAACTGAAGCACTGCAAAATACTTCTGAACGTACTCCATGAGCCACCATCTTCATTGGTTTTTAAAACACACAAAAAATATTAATAATATAAGTAGCTTTAGAGATTTCCGCGCAGTAGTAGATGCGTGAAATAAAAAATCACGATGCGTTGATATTTTTAACATGTGAAATTTATTGTATCAGCGTTTTGATTGGTAGGATGCTATCTCTAGCTCACATGTATGTAGTGAACTAGCGTTTGCATTGCCATTGGCTATATTGTTTTTGCGCTCAAGATTGTTAACATGGTTACCACTTTTAGCGACGTTGCTGGAGTGAGTGGTTTTATTGCATTTCTCGCCAATAAGTGTTTCGTCAACTTTTTAAAAAAAAAGACTTAAGGTTACTTCACACGATGAACGTGCGTTTTAGTCTATTGGACATTGCTCAACGACTTTTAGGTGTAACTTTACCAAATTTTCAGTGAAGAAAGCCAGGAAAATGCTGATTTCGAGAATGTTCATTTGATGGGTGTTCTGTTTAAACATTTTCAGTATTGGCTGACTGAGTAAGTATATAGGTACCTTCATAAAAAAATCAAAATATGTTTATAGTTTACTTCAACGATTGTCTAGATATCGCAATTCGAATCTTCATAGGCATGGTAAAAAAAACGTGTGCGGAAAATTTCTCTTCTTTAGTGGTTTTTCTGATATGCCCTGATTCTTGGATTTGTCACTGATAATTCACGAAGTTGTCAAAGAAAACGTCATATCAGAAAAACCATTGAAGAAGAGAAATTTTCCGCACACGTTTTTTTTACCGTACCTATGAAGATTCAAATCGATATTGAGGTAAACTATAAATATATTTTGATTTTTTTATGGGATACCTATGTATTTCTTTAGTCAGCCAATACTGCATGGACATGTTTAAACAGAACACCCATCAAATGAAGATTTTCGAAATCAGCATTTTTTTGGCTTTCTTCACTGAAAATTTGGTAAAGTTACACCTAAAATTCGTTGCGCCATGTTCAATAGACTAAAACGCACGTTCATCATGTGAAGTAACCTTAAAATTAAAATTCAGTATCAATATATCGTTTTGAAATTATTTTAAATACCGGGTGTTCCAAAAAAGCTGGACACTGTTTGATTCCATATGTATAAGGTAAAAGCTATGAAAGCTATCGCAATGAAATACAGTTCGTTGCACTCAGAAAGGACTAACTTATAGATTTTGATATATATATAGCACTTGAATTAACCTATACATATTGACCGCGCTATTGATGTTTGAACGTTGAATTACTGTTTTTGAAAATGCCAAAAATTAGCGTAAAACCTTATAATTACCGATGTAGTTATATAGGCCGTTTTTATATTAGAGACGTCTGGACGCATAATCCATCTTCGATATTATTCGTCTAGCATAAAGACGGGACGAATAATCCGACGAACTATCACTCTATCAGCATTTATTGTTTGTCTGGTTATGCGTCCTCAGTATAAAGACGGGCACAAGACGTATGCGTCTAGACAAATTATCATCGGTTGTGCGTCTCTTTACGACGAAGAATCGAACATATAGTTCGTCTAGACGCATAATGCGTCTTGTGCCCGCGTCTTTATACTGAGGACGCATAACCGGACGAACAACAAATGCTTGCCCAAGTTCGTCCAGACGCATAATGCGTCTCTAGTATAAAAACGGCCAAATTTGTTAAGTAATAAATATTTTTATTTTGGTTGTATCTCGCTCAATATTAAATGTAAATTCAAGTGTTGTATATCAAAATCTAAGTTAGTCCTTTCTGAATGTAATGATCTCGTATAGCTTGTTTTGCGTTTACGTTACATGAAATCAAACAATGTCCAGTTGTTTTTTTGGGACACCCGGTAGATAACAATTTCCAATTTTGTGGTGGAAATAGTGTGTATATATTATGTATTTAAGGATGCAAATTATACGCAGCATGAGCTCCACCTTTGAATTTACTATACGAGTAAATTCTTAAACACGTTTGAATTTATCATAACCTAACCCTAACTTTTTTAACTCTTTAGTTTTTTTTTCTTTATTAACTCTTTAGTTTTTTTTTAACTTTCATGTTTAACTTTTTTAAAAATCTAACTTTTTAAACTTTTTTTGCTTTTTAAAACACTTTTAAAACTTTTTTAAAAACTATTTTTTTAAAAAAAACTTGAAAAACTCCCCGCCCCAGTCTCCGTTTAAGTGCCATTACATTTATAACAAGAAATCTTGTCTAATGAATGTGGTTTCATGATTAACTCTATTGATAAATTCAAAATGTGCCGCGAATTTATCATAATGATAAATTCGGACGTGTCTCAGAATTTACTCATATAGTAAATTCAAAGGTGGAGCTCGTGTTGCAAATACGATATCCATTAATGGTTCAATCGGGATCAGCTCTAATTCGGCAACGTCTTCAATTAGATAATTTCGTATTGCTAAACCTGTGTCGCAGATGTGAGAATGTACTACCTCAGTTTGTCATGAACATCAAGTCATCAACCCCTCCGTAACCACGAACTTCGTGTTCAGCCCTCTTGCACTTTCCTTGGGGAACACCCTCGCCCCACTAAACACCCTCGTTTTCGTGTTTAAGCTTATTTCCACATTTAATAGTTAAAATCCAAAATTCTTTTGTATGCATGTGTTGACGAAGGATGTTTTGCTTCTTCGCCACCCTAGCCCGTGAGAAATAAACTTGAAATCTACTCCATTTAAGGTGGTACGCCACAACTACACTGTTTTCGACTTAGGAACTCCATATGACTCCCGCAGTTCTCATCACTCACAAAAATTATTTTATGTCAAGATTTTAATTAAAAAGCTATAAATTTATCGTAAAGATTAATGGCATTTCTAATCTAAAAGTTACCGGCCAGCAATATGAAAATGCTGGCGATAGCCGGCTGTTATCTTAAATTTTTTTATTTAACAAAACAAGTGTAACTTAAAGATCGATAATACTTTTATATTTATCAAACAAAATCTTTGGAGAAAAATTACTGAATATTGATGTTCTCAATTAAATTTTATTGTTTATACTCCGATATCGTACTGTATACCATCATCGCAGGAGAAATAAAAAATTTTAATCATCAAGAGAATTGTCTTCTGATCGCACCAAAATGTGAAACTTGGAGTAGAGACAAAAACATTTTAAGTATAAGAACAGTAATTACATTTGCTCTACTGAATTTCAATCAAAAATTGATTTTTGATTATCTTTTTCAGTTGACACGCAACACGCTGAGACTTTCAACAATTAACAATAAACACAGCTCTGCTGTCCTCTAACGTCGACGTGAAAAGCGAATATGTCTTTTCGTTCTGCTTCGTACGCTTTCAAGCTTGGAATCATTTTATCATTGATCAAAGAATTGCAAGCAGCTGACGATACCGACCAAGTGTTGTTCCATAGAGTACATAACGGTTGGTTTGAGAAGAAATTAATGTTTTTATGTTTTTAAAATTTTTATGTTAAGTAACTATATAAGCATATATAAGGCTATACATAGTTCAACGTAGCTTTAAAATGTCGAAGGTTCGCTTCTAGAGTAGCTAGGGCGAGGTATGCATGTAGTCGTACAGGTACCTATAGGAATACAAACTGCAAACTCATTTGTGTGTACGAGATAGATAGATAGTTAGTTTTAATAAAGGGATATGGCAATATAAATTAAGTTTGTCTTATTTGAAAGAATTATATTTTAACTTCCTTTACAATTTTTCCGTATCTTTATTTTCCCGTATCTTTATTTTGATCAAAAGTAGCGTGCATTTTGTCATCTTGGATATGCATTCGATATGCAAACGACCAAACGTCACAAGTAGGGTAAAAAGCGAATTTTTTATCTTGCAAACCACATGTCGTTACCAATATGAAACTCGATTTTCCGAACTCATTTTAGTACTCAATTAACTCACAACATTTTAAGAAACCTTTCGAAGAAATTTAGTCCCGCATGAAGACGTTTTAACAAGTTTACCCTGCTTGTGACGTCATTTGACCTAGAGGTCAATTTATCTGAAGAGTGCCACATACTGTGGTACGAAACTATTTAGTAATAAAGATGCCTAGTGGATTTTGTTGATTTGTTGTACCTTAATTTATATATTCACTTTGCCAAAAGTTTTTATAACCAACAAAACCATATATAAATATATAAATATATATATCTTATCTTGAACAAATTAGTAGCAATTTAGCATAATTTTTTGTAACCTATATAATATAGACGTAGTTTCACGTTTTAGTAGAACCGACGAAGGTCTTAGTTGTTTGACCGAAACGTCTTCTGTTATTTTAATATTTTTAAAATAAATTTTTAACCAGTTTCAACCGTCCAAGCTCTACTTTTAGCTTCCAGAAGATGTCTTCCACTGGTTGCAATTTTAACATTTTTCGAAATATATATATATATATATATATATATATATATATATATATATATATATATATATATATATATATATATATTTGTGTGTGTTGCATGCATACTACTGTCGTAATTAAGTTGTAGGGCTATCTGACACGGCACGATTCGTGTCGCAGGTATGGCGTCACCATATCGAATTGTCAATTCCATTTTGCCTTCATATTGTGCCCTGAAGGCTAGTAAGTACGTTTATGTGTGTCGGCGGCGTTAAAATTCCTTGTGGGCACCTGCCGACACATTTTCCTTCGAATTTTGTATTAAACTCAGTATTACATTTAAAAAT